CCTGGCCGCAGCTCCCCAGCCACCGGCTGCGCCGTCGCGATGCCCCTCGGCGCGGAGCGCCGGGGACTTGCGGAGTGGGTTTGCGTAGGGGTCTCCGTGTGCACGGAGGAGGCAGGCGGTAAAATGCATTCGAAGCCAAAACAGTGCCCAGGCCTGGCCCGTTGCCGAGATCTACCACCAGATCTGCCAAGAGAGGTCACGGAGAGGCTCCCCCGGCTTCCGGAGAAACCGGGGCCACAGCCCTGGAGCCTGCAGCGCCCCGGGGCGCGGGGAACCCTGCAGCGCCCCGGTGCACAGGGAGAACCGCGGCAGCACCCTGACCCCGCGAGCTTGGGTAGCTCCTTAAACGTGTAACCCTGAAACAACATCTTGTTAGTGAAACTCCCCTGGGAGCGCTGCCGATTGCACTAATGAGGCACAGAAACAAGCGACAGCCTTAGTTTATGGACTTTACAGCAGTTGTTGGAAGACAGCAGACTAGTTCAGTCTGCGCGGGCTTGGTGTCTTCAGTCCTGAAAACAGATTTCAGCTAACTAACTTAGGCAGGTCAGATTACTGTAGGGTGCGGATTAATGTCAGTTTTTATATGTCTAACAAGGGTTTATGCAACTCTCTTATTGTGTTTTTCTTGCTCTGTTTTTTGTGGACCTCGACGTACAAGAGCCACCCTTGAAAAAAATGGCTATCAAGGATAGCCAGCAGCTCACAAGACAACTTTTGAATTGCTTCAAGAAATAGAATGAGCTTCAAGCAAATTCTGTGGTTAGATGCATCATCCTGGCGCTAAATAACCCAAGTTAAATTATGGGATAGTTAGGAACTGCAGCGTTGGTACCAAGAGAGAAGAAAAGTCAACTTTGGCCCAGCTTAGTGTGTACTTTACATTTCCAGTGGACTTTAAAATGCCCAACTTGCCAGCTATGCCTTCCTAGTCTATTAAATTAAGAATAGAAAGTGGTAAGCACTGTGAATGTCAGTGCTGCAGAGACAGCTCTCTGGAGGAAGATGCCTAAACACTGCATTGCATCTCTGGCCTTGAGTTTCATGCTGGATAACCCTCTGTGCCTTGTTCTTTAAAATACACCTAATTGTGAACTTCTCTTTGAGGGAAAGAAGAAACTACAACTGATCCTGTGGTTTTAAGTATTCCTTTTTAAAGTGTTTCTCATTTGCAGTCTAGGTATTGTTTGAACTCTTCAGGACCAAATTTTTTGTCTGCTATCATTTGTAATGGGTAACGGGCTTACAAATTAAGTGTCCCTTAATGTGCAGACGCACGCTTGGTACACAGATAGCAACTCGTCAGCAAAAGAGTGTCATAGGTTTGAATCCTCTTAGGCAAGTGTGCTTTAAAAGGCTAGTCATCTTGGTGTTAAGAAAGAATGTGGGTCTTGGACGAGGTTAAAGAGATGACCAAGTTGCAATACTATAAATTAAGCAAACTCCAACCCATATTAAACAGACGGGGAGAAAAATGAGGAAGCTGAAAATTAAATCGTTAATAATTCTACACTGAAGTAAGCTAACTTTAACCTTGCTTTCTGTTGTTCTTGTTTTTAGTGGGTGACACTTTCACCTTCAACTATACCTTACAGTTATTTGGGAGTATTTGGTAGCTTTCTTAATTATTTAGTGGAGAACCACCACAAATGGGTATGCTATGGGTAAGTAATTTGGCTATTTAATTTCTTTGCAATCTCTCTTGCTGCCTGTCTCCGTCTCTCCCTCTGCTAAGTCTGTGTTAACAAGCTTTCTTGTAACCCAGTTGTTAATTACATTTAAAGAGCTCTTATTTCAAGCCCTGTATGACTAGGGGAGTGAGGGAAAAAATAGGTTGAAGAACAGATGGGCCAAGGCTAGCCTGAAAGCTCAAAACTCAACCATGGATTTGTTATCTGTCTCATTACAGTAAGAAAGGAAAAAGAAAAAAAGAAGATACTACTTCTGGAGACAGTTACCAGTACATATTTAAGCTTTCCTCTGTTATATCCTGCCTTTGGTCAATCTGTTACTCTGGTAGTCTTGTTTTTTTGCTTAGGAGTCTCCTAATGCTCCACTTTTCCCAGCTTCAACTAAAGAGCACTTCATATAATACTAATAACTGATCCTGACCACAAGCTGAGGTTTTTTGTTTGTTTGTTTGTTTTTCCTTCTCTTTGAGGTACAAAACAATTTTTCTGTTATTTCCGCTCACAACTAAGCTGAAGAACACTTTCCTGTGTCTAGGTCTCTGACTCACTGACTGTAAATGGGATCCCAGACTGGTTTAACTTGTTCCTTATCATGCGCTGTGGAGAAGAGAGTTGCAGCTCAATGTGTAGGACTCTAGGACTACTAAACTCATCTGTGGGTAGAAAGTTAGGCTGTGCATACTTAACTGGATCAACCTGTGTGCACTAAACATTTGGCTTAGTTCAAGTGTTGAAATTTTTAAAAATAGGCAGTGAATCGGTGAAGTGGCAGATCTAGGTGTATTGCATGAGTTTCAGTAGCTCTGTAACTTTCTCTAGGGACTTTAGTTTCTTCTAAGACTATACATTTTTTCCTCCCCTAACATGCTTCTAAGATAATAAACACACCTCATTTTCTAGCTTAAAGCTTAGCAATACTTCCGTGCTTCTAGTTTTACATTCTCTGCAAAATAGACTTTGGATACAATGCTCTCTGTTATTTTCAACAAAACATGCTTTCTTTTTATTAGGTTCTGGGTATCCTGGTTGATTCATATAGTAGAAGCCTTCTACGGTGTTAAACTATGCCAGTAAGTTGTTGCACTCCCCTGCCCCCCTTAAGTTCTCTGGAGAAGACTTCACATGCAAGTGACCCAAATTACAAACTGATTTTGGCAACTGTCAGTTGTGGCACAAGTTCTAAAGACCTTGATAAAATTATTAAATTGTGGCCGCACTGATAATTTGCTAGCAAAAGGTTACTGTCTGTACAATTGCACGGAGCGCCTGTGCCCAGCAGCCCTAGATCCACCATTGCAGCTTAAGTCCATCCTCACTGCCAACAGATTTGTCATCTGGCTACAGATACAGGCTCTGTGCTGTGCTATTGTGCAAGGTGTCGAAGGTGGGAGGTGGTAACTTGGGGAACTTGCAGCAGGAAGTCTGCCAGAAGGTGTCCCTGCATTTCGGCCCACTGTTCTTTAGCTAACTGCTTTTGAGAATAGTTCTTCCAAACTATTTAGAACAGGACAGAATGATTTATTCTTGATCATTAGCTCAGATACTGTGTTCATAGTACTTGAGGAAGAGACAATTGGTAGTGTAGAAATAATCACTTAATGCTTGATGAGAAAATCCAATGAAAAACAGCTGATTTTTGAGACTGCTAGTTACCCTCTTAAATAGGTCGTATCCATTATTATGAAAGTACAGTAACAGGATACTTCTGTTCAAGGGTACTTAAGATCTTGTTGTACCTCTGGGGGTTTGTAGGATAAAACACTAAGACTAATTGGACCATGAATTGGACTGCAAGGTCAACAAATCTTGTGTCAGGACAACAGATTGTTCAAAAATATATGCTGTCCTAACATGTAATTCTTCTATTCATTTGGATTACAGATTTGTTAAAAACAGCATTACTTTTGGATGGTTGTCTACCTGTATATATGTTCTCTTCAAGCATGCTTATTTTATGCAAGCAGGTTAAAATCTTAAATCCTAGTTTTCAGGTTTTCTGCACTCAGTTGAAAACACTGCAGTTGTGCTTATAAAAAAAATCCTTTCACAGCTGTTAAAAAATGAAATGTAAGAGCCTGTGTTAATCAGCATGGGCTACATGAACATTTTCTAGGTGTAGATGATGCCAAACAATGAACAGCTGAACTGTTGCAGCAGAGGTCAGTAGAGGGAGCTCCCTTATAAATTAGTGAGTTAGGGCAAAGCTAAAGATGGGTAAAGATTTTTAACCTTACTTTCAAGTGTAGTCTACAAAACTAGACTTTAAAACATGTCATTTTTTTTTTTTCCTTACAGGACTAAAGGCATCACTGACCCAGCAGTTCAGTTCCAGTGGTTCATTCAGACACTTTTATTTGGGTATGCTTCCTTTGGTCTCCTGGTGTCTTACAAGCCTCCACTCAAGAAGTACTACTAGAAGAACTGGAGAAGTCTCTTACATTCTTCACATACCTTTTTGTTAGAAAATAACCTCACTTACATGTCTAGGTGCTGTA